GTGCCCCGGGGGAGGCCGGCTCGCCCGCCTGGCCGGGAGGCGGCGAGGTAACGGAGGGCTTCGCGGTTCCCGGCTACTGAGGCAAGCTCGGGTTTGCCCGCGTTTGCGTCTCGCGGTGAAATCATTTGTTTTACGCTGCTGGGTTGTTTCTGCGGAGAGGGATGGTGTGTGCGTGTGGGAGCTTCCTGAGGAGAAAGGTAGAGAGCTTGCCCTTGAACACCTTTGTATCTAGGTTTTGGTGTGGTGGGGAGGACCTTTGTCTCACGTTTGTCTGGAGTACAGTTTTCCTGCATTTTTATAGCTAAAAGATCCTAGAAGTTCCAGTTTTGTGCCTTCAGTCTGCCTTCCTGTGCCTCACACTATTTCTTCTTGCAAGCTGTACATGAGCTGGTAGTGCCAGGGATGGAGAGCACGTTCCTATAACTGGGCCAAAATCAGAGTCACCAGCCTGTTCTAAGAGTTTTCTATACTCTGTGTCCTCAGCGAGAAAAACAATACAGTGCTGATGCTCAGCAAACTGCACGCTTCTCTCTACAACAGCATCTCACCGCCTGTGATTGCATGAAGTGTCTGTCTGTGCTAGGATCTGGAAAACATTGCTCTCTTGTAGCAGAAGATTGGTCCCGTAAACTGAGTGAAGTGTTCTGAAGAGCTGTAGGTTCTGTCAAAAGACGTAGTCTGTGCAAACTCTGCTCACCCCAAAAGCAAACATAAACCTTCTGTTGCTGCTTCCTGCTTAATTAATGGTATGGACTTTGGCTGCTGAAACGTAGGCAAACTAAAGTCAGTGGCTGCTGTTAACACTCTGTGGATCACAGTACAGTTCTGCAGTAGCTCAGTAGAATTTCTCCTCCCCCCTCCAGCCTAGTCGTTTGTTGTTAGGTAGTTGCTAACAAAAATGAAAAGAGTTGGTCACTGAGACGGCAGTAGTCTCTTGTTTCTTGTTAACACTGCCACTTAATTTTCAGGTAATGGAAAAATCAGATTCTAGGCTGGTAGACTATGTGAAAGAAGAGAAAACTTGTTTCAGAAGTTTTTCTATGTGTGAAGACCCATGTCTGTTTTTCTTTCTTTATTGAATACAGTATGTAATTGTGGGGAGCAAAACATCTCAAATCATCTTAATTTAAATCTTTCCAATTTATTGTATCACTTCTGTCAAATACAGTGTCATCTAAATAAACACTGCAGTCCACATTTCCCAGTTCTATGT